GTTGCCATCACTCACTTGGTTTTCATAGCAACTAACATCATCCTGTGATTTGTTTTGAAAAGATGTCTCAACACCATTCAATCCTTGTAAGGCTACCTCAGCATCAGATCGAGATTCACTTATGTCAGTGTCTTTTTCTTGTTCGGCATCTCTGTCTGAAGAAAATCCATATTTAGTAATGTCAGTGACACCACCTTCAGCAAGGTCTTTGCATTCTCCATCTGCAACATGCTGAGCAGAGTCACCATTTGCTTTGTAGCTATCACCACCACCAATCATTCCAGACATAGCCAACTGTTGACTCTTTTTATTGTCTTCCCTTGACCACCATAAACTATATACAACTAGGAGGCAGTAGTATGCTTCTAAGCTGTCTAGTTTATTCAACTGTTGACTATGCACGTTTTCATCTTTATAGTATGTACCTTCTTTCATCAACATTCTTAGAAGCGAAAACGTCTTCCAACCTGTATGTGGTAAATAAAATGCGAACAGAATATTTGAAGTGGTATTGAAGAACGAGCTTGAACTTTGTTTTTGAAATTTTCAAGGCAAAAATTTAGAAAATGACCTTAAACATATAGAAATAATATAAAAGGATAACAAGGCAATCTCATTGGGCATCAAGGCAATTGACTTTGTGATGTTGAAAATGAGGCCTGTAATTAATGGAAGTGGTACTATTATTCTTATTGTGACTAAACTGCATCCATGAAGTCCATATAAAAGTATTCCACAAAAGAAGTCGCCATTACTAACCACTATATTACGAAGCTGCATTCTTACTTTACATTATACGCAGAACACCCCATATCCCCTCTGATTTTTAATTATAATACATAGCATAACTATTACAACATGGTACATGCAGTGTGTCATTAGAGTCGTATTGGATTGAGAGATGAATACATCACTTACCCTGAGGCAACATAATAGTAAAGATATTCTGTTCCATGTCATAGTATCCTCTTTCATGACATAGTATAATGGCTTGAAACCAATGATTGACAGGGGTCTGTGATGTCACAAGAGATAGCAATGCCAAGGTCATCTCATGTGACAGATGCAGCAGAATCTGGAAAAAAAGAAACGAGCAGATTGAGTTACAATAACATGAATAAGGACCTCAAATTAGAACAAAATTGAAAATCTACGGTAGAGTTGAATATGTTTTATTGTAAATTTGAAACTTTTGTGATTTTAGGAGTGGACCATTAGAAACTCTGGAGGGGTACGAGATGGCTGAATTGAAAGAAGAATTTGCACAGAAAAAAATCCTACAAGTACAATGTATCAATATATTACACGCCGGAAATCAAAAGTTTTATTTTAATAATTTATCCTGTGAAAAACAAACTGGCACAGTGAAGGAATAAAATTAGTTTTCCTGCCATCAACCACAAGTTTGTAATGATCCACCCCTTAGCTGCAATTTATATATATTTTTTTTTTTAAATCTCAATCAATTTTTGAGTGCTTGAAGACAATTTCGAAAACATTTCATCAGTTTATTAACAGTGTAAATTATTGGACATCTAGTAGTGTGGTACAGTACATTAAATTACCCAAATTTCCATGTCAGATAGATAAGGTGTTGGACATGTAGAATATACTATCTAAAACCTTGCCCACAAACGATGTTTTGGCATTTGGCAGGTTGGCATCTTTTGGTGGCCGAAAACTCAGTCCATTTATTTACTAGTCACAAACAATATCTAATGCAGACCAATGTTTCTGAAATTTGCTGTAAGCATTTTGTTATCAAATTTCAATCATTCCATACACTGAAACTGAGTTGAATTTTGATGCCTATATTCAAGGTTATACTTTGTCAATAAGCTGAGCTGTTAAGCATGTGACAATAGTTCATTTCACCATATACTGGTATTTATTATGGAGTGTTTAAAGTAAAACTATCACACCTCTTTCTGAGATAGATGTTCTTTTCTCGTTGGTTTGGACTGAGATAAAGCTTCATAAACATCAGAGAGTTCATCGTACTCTATATTGTGGTAATGTAACCAGATTCGTATTGCTCGACAATAAAATAAGTCACCGTTGTCAAAAGTACAGATTGGCCACCTGGAAAAGTCATCTCCACATGCCTTGGGTTGCAGGTATTCTGAAAAATGAACATAGTCTTTCATACTTCAGAGAAATGTACAGCAAATGGTACTGAATGAGTGATTCAACTATACAATATGTCTTTGAATTTGATGTTCAGAAGTGGGTTGTAATGTCAATGATATAGTAGTCATTTGTATTGTACACGTGATATATTTTATATATATTATCTAATGTCTAATGTATGTGTGAAGTTTAAACTTCAATAGTACAGGCATGTGTGAGATACGGCTCAGTGGAACTGCATTTGTATAAACAAGATGACCGCCAGTCAGCCATTTCGGATTTGATGATGAAAAAAATGCATGTGCATTTGTCCAATATGATGTCTAATGTATGTTTGAAGGTTGAACTTTATCGGCCCAAGCATGTGAGAGAGCACGAGAAGGCTGAATAAAGACGCGCACGCGCACACACACTGAAGTCCCCCTGTTTTGTTTTTTTCCAAACGGGGAAATAAAAATATTTCTGGTCAAATTGTTTTTCAAAAAACTTGTGCAGTGGCTTACCAGGAACATAATTTTCATTTTATGCCTAATATTCGTTTTTTTCAGTGTCAGTGACAAAACTACATATAGAATGAAATGAAATTGAAGTGTATCTACATGTATGAAGGATGGACAAGTAATTGTATCACATAGGTCCCATTAGTTTAAGAAATAGTTTTGTTTATCATGATTTAATTTGGACATGAATGGTCAAAACATGTCAGATGCGGGTTCAGAACTGCATTTGTTATAACAAAATGGCTGCCAATTGGACATTTTGAATCTGATCGAAAATCAAAATGACATGCAACAATGTACCATAATGTCTAAAGTATGTACAAAGTTTGAACAAAATCCATCCATACGTGATGGAGGTCCGACTCCAGAATGGCAAAAATGCTTGGTTATGATAAATTGAATTTGAAAAATGGTTGCTCTTCTGCCATCTTGAATTGACTTAAGAAATTAAAGGACATGCATATGTTGCCAATAAATTTTCAAACAAAGACCGATTTGTTATTATGGTTAAGCCTTGTTGCGAATTTAAAATTGATTTATTACCCCAAGTCATTTCTTTTAAATAGTTTCAAATAGGCGGTAGAAGGGAATAACGAAATACTGGTCAAAGTTTTGTTAGTTCCATATATCTTTAAATAATGAACAGAGTTTCAGTTTTCAATTAACATTGAAAGTCTCAGGGCACCAAATATAGCAACTTGGCAATAATGTTGACTGGGACCTATTCTGAACACGACACTTTAAGATACAAATGTAGCCTGACCTTTGACCCCTGGACTCAAGGCATTACACCATCTTTGCATTCGGTCCTGCATTGTGATTGGATGATCAGTGAAAAGCACATCTTGGTAAGCTTCACTCGATATAAAGTTCATTTGTAGAAGTGACTTGACCAGCATCTCATGTAGTATTAGCTGTAAATGATGTCCCTGGGTAAAAACACAATTATCAAGAGTGTTACTCAGTCTCCTCAATTACTTAGTTTAGTTTTCCTAACATTATAGATTTTTATTTCTGTGCCATACACAAATGTGAAAAAATAAATTTAACTATACAATTCTAACTACTGATGGTAACATTAAAATATCATTTTCAAGCGAGTAAATGCGAGCTCAAACGAATTTTATTGCTTTGCTTTTTGAAGTAGCAGTCCAACATTTATTATAGAAAAAATACTTTTACCAAAATAAAATCAAATAGTATGCCAGATTTTCAGAATAACTTTACCTTCAAATTGGGAAGAGTTAAGAGCATTTCATGAGCCTGCAGCCAATCACCACTCTCCTGACACTGATTGGCACACTGAAGAGCCAATGAGGAAGCTTGATCTAGCTCATTTGCATACACAGCCACCTGGGATGCTATTTTTAGAGATGTGATATCTCCCCTTCTGGCGAGTGATCTGATAGCATCACATCGGTTATCAGTAGCTAAATAACTGAGAAAATAGACATAAGAATATTGTAAAGTAAAATCAATGTTGCTAATATTGGGACACTTCTTGAATTTGTTGATGTAGAAAGCTCGACTGTGTCCAAGTACTTGATTCAATTTTTATTCTGCTGCCTCTGACAACTAACTTAATTATATATATTACATAGTTACTTATACCACTTTTGATCATTCGAACCGCTACTGTGATTTCTGTAAGCCAAATGTATTCATGCTGTAAACAGCCACACTTGTATTTAAATCCTAAATGAAAGTTACTACATATAAACACATGTATACATAACTTATAAACCACTACTATAAATCAAACTGTGCACCTTTAAGTAAGGTGCAACATCTGGAGTTGAAGAGTAAGAGTTCTTTCTCGTCTATTTATACAAACAAAAATTAGGCAAGGGTGGGAGGTTAGAACCCACATCAACCGTTGCAGGTAAAGTAGCCTTTTAATGACTGAGCTATTGTGAACATTATCATCAAATTCCTGTACAAGAATGGTCATTTCAATGTCATGTGGTAGCCATGAGCAAATTACAGAGCTTATGGATAGACCTTGCAGAATATCAGTTTTGTCCGCAACACTCGCTCAATATTGTGGGTTTACAGATACCGTATAACCCCACAGTTTATACAAATTGGTCAGAATCAATTAATCAACACTATCTCATGCATATAATACAAATTCATTTCTCTTTCTCTGTACATTTATCCTTACCATTTCCATTGTTAACATTTATTAAATTTATGCAATGACTTCAAGTAAACTAAAAAAACCATGTATATCCTATTCTATTAAAATATCTTTTGGTATTGAACATCTCGTTCAGTAATAGTTTTTCTATGTATGCAGTGGTCAGTTGTCAGTGATTATTTCATGGTGCGTGTTTGTAGAGGTCCGAGGCAGTCCATACAAATGCGAGTAAAGCATACATTTAATGAAACAAAATTTGAAATCGTATCAAACTATTGATGTACATGCTTACTTACCATTTAGCAGCCTGTTCATAGTTACCATCAGATTCCAAGTGTGCAGCCCATTCCCAGTACAGTTCTAACAAGACAGGATCTTTAGGTGATAATCTGACTTTAGATAAAGCTACGGCTTCCCTGAGACATTAAAAACAATATTTAATAACATATAAATGAGTAACAACCCATTTCATGTGTTTTTTTAGCAACAGCAATAAATATACTGAATATTTGTATTGATAGTTAAACTCTGGACATTCAAACATACAAATGTTATACAGTGCACCTACTTGTAAAGTTTATGTTCCTTTAATACGTTGATTGCATCATATACTTTGTGTGCTGAAAGGTAATAGGACACTGCTTTCATGTACTGTTCCTGTGAACACAGTTGCTTTGCGTAGCATTCACATGACTGGATCCAGAGGTTCTGACCACCTGTAAATAAACAGTAGAAATACATCACAAAAATACGTCACAACACCTGACTTTGTGTCCCATTCGCCATGGAAATACACCATTTATTAAGAGTGAATTCAGGTTCATCATGGTGAAGACGAGATATCACATGATGGAGCAAAAACATTATGAAGTTTAGTACAAAACCACACAGATTGCCATGTGTGGACTAATATGCCATGTGATACTTTTGTTATACAAATGTATGCTAATCACAAATCTATTTTTACCAGTTTTTTGGTGTTTAGATAGTGTTTTTTAAATTTTTTTGCCCACAGCTCAATATGGCTCAAGCCAGTAAAATTTAAAGCTTCAGCTACAGTTCAGCTGTAATGAACCCATGGGGTTGAACTTCGATATGCCTATGTTCAGTCACAACTGTAAAAAAGCACAATTTCCAGTTAATTAGTGGAAGAACATTAGTTTGGCTCTGATAAAATGCTGCAACAAAAACCTAGCAACGAATTAATCAATTGTAATTTCCTGTCCAGCATGCTGGTGGTTATCAAGGTGTGGCTAAGGAGTCCAGGTACATTTTCTACTGACCTAAAGGTGCCATTGACACCAGCCAATCATTGAGCTGTCCTTTATCCTTGGCAACCTGTAGGGCTCTTCCAATATTTCCCTTCCAGATTTCCAATTGGATGAAGTTGTCTATATTGCCTTGCTCCAAATGATAATCACCTGCAATAGATTCAGAATGGCAATAATGTATACAGAATGTGGAAAGTGATCTACTGTAGGTGATGTCATGAAGTCTTTCATTGACATCATTCATATTCATTTTGAATATTGTTGCTCAGAAACAGCTCAAGCTGAAATCCTGGGCTGGGGGCAATGTGAAAGACCTGTCATCTACCCTCTGGTGACATCCTAATGCCAACCACTATTTTATTAACCATCTTCTACTAAACATAACTGTACATCTTGCGCTATCAACCATGAACAAATTAGGGAGGGGTAAGGTATGCACTAAATCCATTGAATGTCAGAGTAGTAGTAGATTAATGAAGGTTTGATTCACAACAAATTTCACAAAATCAACATCCATTATTTGGTTATAGTACCACATTTTTTGTCTTACTTTGTTGTAATAAAATAGTGGACAGCACTGTGGGTGGGATTTAATCTGGTCAGGGCAATGTAAAAGCTGGTACATCATGGGGCTGGCAGGATAAAGGTTAATGTGTTAAGAGTTGCATATATACAAAGAATACATAGAAAGAGCAAAGAAAGACAATGTTGAGATATCTACTGTTTTAGTTACTCATGTTGATCACTATTCATTTGACATGCATTTGTGCTACGTGCAATGCATTTGACTGATAAAGACTGGTTTTATGAAAACGTATATTTCTTGATTTGTTTCATACCTTCTTGTTTGAACATCCTAAATGCAGCTTTTCTGTCAGAAAACATTCCTAGATTGGTATGTTCACCTTGACCAATAGACAGATCACTGCCGGCACCTACAATGAAATGAACATGCAATATTTACAGACAAACTAAAAATTTGAATACGACGCAAAACGAAATACGCAACACAAGTATAATGTGACATTACACATCCCATGATTGGGTTGCAGAAAAAAAAATAAAATAAAACTTGATAAATTTGCATTATACTTTGTGAAGTGTGACAACTTGGAACACTGATGGAAATTTGGCATCTACATGAAGGTTTCTGTAGTGTTGTCGCAGCTGTCCTTCAATTATCAGTTATGAAGTTCAAAGAACGAATCAAAATCAAGGTCAATAAACTATTATTTGGCCTGGTTTACTCATACCACTAGATATTGCGAAGAAAACATGTGTTCTTATAACTATGGTGTATCACAATTATATATAGCCTTACTATAGATGGTCTTGGCTAGATACCGGCAGTCTTCTTGTACGTAATGTTTACCCCTATTATCTAGTGAACTGCAATTTGGAAACAAAGATTTTTGTTTCTTTCTTCTTTTATCTGCTGTTCAAGGTAAATATAAAATACAATGTAGTTATGATGTAAGAAACTTGAAATGAGTTTTAATGTATTCATGATTGCTATGATTTAATGTCATATAATTGCGGGTTTATCTATATAAATAGAAATGCAGGGCCAGGAAATACAGCGCCATCTGGAGTCATCCAGTGGAGATGCTGAAGAGGGCCTTATATTACATTTGTTCTTTTCCATAGCGGCCGATGGATAATTTGTTTCTATAATATAGATACATTTATTATTAACTGGAATTACTTTTTTCTGGTACAAGAAAGGATGGAAACAAATTCAAAATCAAAGAAAGCTTAGAAAGAACTCCCGTGTGCTGAGAGTATTGGAGACACATTAATTCAAAATTACTTGAACTTGAGATATTGATGGAAATGCAGAAAACTAATTATGCAAATAAGGTAACTAATATGAACACATTTAAGTGTAAAACTAATAAGGTCTGCACAATGTAAAAGTAATAAGATCTGTGTAATTTAATATCTATGTACCAAGTTTCATTGAAATGTGATTAGAACCAAAAAATTATTAATTATTGTGCTAATTAAGAGAATTAATATGAACAGATTTTAACCCAAAATTAATCAGGCTGTCTATTGTCCTAGAGCATTTATGTACCAAGTTTTATTCAAATGTGATGATCAATACTTGAGATATCAGTATTAATTATGTTAATTAGGTGATTAAGAAGCATAAATATTTACCAAAACTAATATGGTGTACAGTCCTAGACATGTAGGTTCATTGAAATGTGATGAGTACTCTTTAAAAGTTTCATTAAAATTCAATGAGTGGTTCTCATGACAAATTAACTAATTAAGCAAATTAGTACCGTAGTTAATATGCACAATAATTTATCCTAAAATTAATCAGGTCTCTGCATAGTCCTAGAAGATCTATGTCACAAGTCTCATTGAAATGTGATGATTAGTACTTGAGATATCAGGTGAAGGGCTGAAAATTAACTAATTATGCTA